AAGAATTTTAAGTAGCGTTTTTACTATAGTTTTATTTCTTTTGTGAAATTGGTAACTCCTTCTATTTTTTGTATAAAAGGTCTTTACACATTTCTGCTCCTTGTGATCTTTAAACAATAATCAAAATCATACGTAACTGTGGTATTCTGCATTTTGTCTTCACTTTAGAAAATCCTATACAAGTTTTCATTTTTTTATCGAAAACTATTTATTTATATGCAACAAGCATATGTTTTCTTTCATCACAACCCATCTAAACATACTGTTTAATGCCCCAAAGATATTTGTCTTTTTATGGATGTGCCTCAGGCTTCTAGCCATAAATTCCAAATAGATGAAAATTTGCACTTTAAATTCCTTCTGGAACCAAAGACTATCAGTGCATTGGTGAACAAGTTGCTGGTCATGTTATTCGTGTTTCATCCACTGGCTCCTGGATTTGAGCAGCATCTCTCCGTGTTATGCACTGGACACCTGAGCAACTGCAATCTGGCTGGCCTTTACCCTACAAGCCTCCCCTCTCCTGGAGCTAGAGTTCACTCCTTACAGGTCTTCTGCCCACCCTTTATGACCTAACCTAATGCAGTGTACATAATAGACACCAAAATTATATATAGGGGGGCTGGGTTTGTGGCTCAGTGGTAGAATGCTTCCCTGGCATATGTAAGGCACTGGATTCGAGCCTGAGCACCACATAAAAACAAATAAATAAAATAAAGGTATTGTGTCCATCTACAACTAAAATTTTTTTAAAATATAAAAAATAAATATATATATATATATATATATACACATATACATATATATGACAGAAATGAATCCTTATGGGGCATAAATTTGATTTATACTATCAAATAGTAAAGGAAAATAGGAATTCAAAATGAGTATATTTTTATAAATATGTGTATGTAGACCCTTAATCATTTTTACTTTAATAAATCATTTTTAGGTCAGTACAGTTCAAAAAGCCTGTAAAAATGATCCACATTTTCGATTACATATAATTCTATTATTTTAGGGGCACTCTCATAGGCTGATAATGGGAATGTAAATTGGTACAATTATTATGGTGGGCAGGCTGGGATATGCATCTAAAGCCGAGAAGTCATGTTGACATTTGAATTTTTCCTAAGTAAATGATTGAAGGTATCCAAAGATCTATTAGCTACAGGAGTTTTATCACAATATTGTTAATAGAAAATGGAAAATTAAAAACATAACATATCTCACAAATAACAATGAGAATGAATTTTATTTCATCAATTTAATGTCATAATATTCAATTATTAAATGTAAGGTTTGGATTAGAAGTTAATAAACATGGAAAGATGTTTATAAATATTGTAAAGACTTTTTAGGTTTATTTGTAGGAAGTTCTCTTTGCAGATTTTGTGGAGAATTAGATATACTGAGTGATTATTCCAAATGAAAATACTCAAATCTGAATAAATATAAAATGTATACTTTCAGAATATTTCCTTCCATCTGAAGTGAAAACAATCCATTTACAAAGCCCAAATGAAATGAAAGCAAGATCCTGAGGAGTAAGCCTCAGAGTTGGCTTTGCCCTGAATTCTACTGAAACCTGGAGACTTTAAATTTACCCTTTCAGGGCAACATAGGTTACCATGGAATTATCTGAGATAGGGAACCTAATAGGAAACTCCTCACAGGCCTAGAACCAAAAACAGCTACATGCACAGTATAAAAATAAATGAGACACTTGAATCAAATTGTGAAATATGATATATCAAGAACTATGTAATGTTTTGAACAGCCAACAATAAAAAATTTAAAAAAAAAATAAAAATAAAAATAATAATAAATGAGAAACAAATGCCATTTTACACAGAGACATTGGGTAAATTTGCCTATCTTACACTTTGAACTAGTTGAAGAGAAAATACCTGAAAGAGAAAAAGGCTAAAAATAGTTAATATACCTCTCAAGAGAAAAACAAAGTAGCAGAACTTGCTGCTCTAGACATCCAGACTTCTAAAGCTGGAGAAATGAAGACTGTGATATTGACCCAGATATTAGTCTAAACTAGATCTAGGCCTTTCAACATGGTTCATCAGTGGAAAAGGATGAACTGTTTAACAGAGTGCTAGGACTATTGGTTGTCCACATGGAGAACTAACTGCACCTCACGTTGAACACACACAAAAAATAACTTTAGGCATACTAAGACTTAAATGTAAAGGACAAAAATGTAATTTGGAAGATAACATATAACAACTATTTGATCTTGTAATATGGAAGAATTTCACAAATAAGGGTCTCACAAAATTCAAACCATAAAAGGAAATATTAAAATTTCAATGACACAGAAATTATGACCCTCTATTCATCAAGTTATATAGCAATGACAATGAACCAGGTCTACACAGGTGAATCCTAAAACCAATTCTGAATAAAAATTGAAGCGAGTGATTATTTCGAATTTCAGGACAATGTCAGCTCCCTATAGGATAGGTCAGGAGGCTCTCAGGGCAAGCACACATGTGACCTTCAAAGTCCTGGTCATTCTCTGGGAGATTTGGGGGTAAAGTAGGTTCAAAGACATTCATTTTATCATTAATTTTAAACTGTATTTATACATGTTATGCCTAATGTACTTCAAATTGATTTTAAACAAGAGACTATAAAACACAATGCAAAGCATTTTTAATGTTAAAATTTGCTTAGCTGGACAAGGTGGCATGTGCCTGTAATCCCAACTACTCAGGATGCTGAGGCAAGAGGATCACAAGTTCAAAGCCAGCCTCAGCAACTTCGGGAGAACTTGTCTCAGAATAAAATGGACTGGTGATAAACTTCAGTGGTAAAGTGCCTCTGTGTTTGATTCCCAGTGCCAAAAAAAAAAAAAATGTAAAACTTGATTAAACAAAATAGTAGTAAGATACATGCTAAGTGGTAAAAAATAGCTTTGCCATAATCAGAGGTGGATCAGGTGATTTGTTTTAATTTTATAATATTTTTATCTGTTGTTTCTGTAAAGTGATAAAGGATGTTAACACTGTTTACAGAAAGAGTGCCAGTTGTCCTCATTTCCCTTCTATATGGTATAAAATGTGTGTCATATAGTTTGATCCAACTAGAAAGGTTATAAACTACCTTCAATCCATAGAATCTGTGAGGGTTAACGACTGGGGTAAAGAAAACACAAAATTACAGACACTTCCATTTTCTACCTGCCTTATCTTGACTTGTTTACAGTAGAAATTATACATTGGTGATGCTTTTCAAATCCCCCAGCATGCTCTTGGTGTCAACTATATCTATAGTTTGCCAGCAAATAATGACCATTGTAATACATTGAGAACAAAAAAGAGTGACCCTTTGTTTATGTGTGTGTTTGATTTGAAATAGTTATGTTACTGTTCCTTCAAAAATCAATGTGTTAAATAAAATAATTGTCATGCATTAAAAAAAAAAAAAATGACCCAGGACTCATGGATGTACTCATAAAGTAAATTTGCTTGTGTTTATCACTCTCTTTTTTGTACCTGCATAGGGGACTCAACATTTATGTGCTCCTAAATTGAAATATGGGGAAGCCTGCTGAATTTTCTGTTTCTACTTGACAAATAAACATGTTAATTTTCAAACAACTCATTAATTTAAAGGACCCACTTCAATATACTGATCAATACTTGCCTCTTCAAGACTGGTACCTGAAACCCAGCCAGGGACTCTGGTTTGAATGGAAGGTGGTGGGAAGGAGGTGTGATCCACTGTTGCTTTTCCTCAGCCTACTGGTTTCTAACCCTAGACCCCATGCCCTATCTTAGAATGTGCTTCTTTGGTACTATTTTAAATAGATTTAGTCCTCTCTGGCAGCGATTTAAAGCTGACACTCTACTATGTCATTTAATGAGGGCTGCCAGATTTAGGGAGAAAAGGAGACAATACAGGGTGCCCAGATAAATTTGAATTTCAAATAAACAACAAATAATTTTCAGCATATCCAATATACTGTTTACCTGAAATTCAAATACAGTATGAGATATGCTTACACAAGTACAAAAAAAAAAAATCAATGTTTATCAGACATTTCAAATTTAGCCAGTGCCCTGTATTTGCCTGGTAACTCCTACCTTTGGTCGGTCCATCAGCAACTCCCTTACTTGGGCCTCTCCCAGTATTACACTGTAAACCCAAGCAAGGTCTCTCTTCCAACTGGGTCCTCCCTGCCAGCCCTCATAGTCTGCATCAAGCATAAGCTGATCGACGGCCTTTTACTACTGAAGTCTCTAAAGCCGGGAGGACAGCTCTTGTGCATGATCCCTTTTTTATGCCCTCTGTCTGATGTTTCTAAGAGTGTTGCATACCTTCCCTGAGATTCACTTATATGTGACACACCCCTGGCAAGATTCCTCAAGAGCTAGGCCTCTGTGTTTTCCTGTACAAGGGAACATATAAGAAACTCTCCAAGTAATCCTGCTGAATCTCCTTTCTCCAGATTTAAGGTTAAGAGGCAGAAACTCCAGACCCAGCCCTCCCCCTGGTGGTGTGCAGAAAAGGAAAGGGACCTACAGTGTGGTTTTGTCAAAAAAAATTATTCTGCCCAGGTACAGTAGCACATGCCTGTAGTCCCAGCAACTCTGGAGGCTGAGGCAGGAGAATTGCCATGTTTGAGACCAACCTCAGCAAATTAGTGAGACCCTGTCTCAAAATAAAAAAAATATAAAAGGGCTGGGATATAGCTCAGTGGTAGAGCACCCCATTCCCCAATACCAAAAAATAAAAAGAAAGAAATTATTTTCATAAAATCTTCTATTTCCATGCTTTGAACCTTTTTAAATACTTGATATGGAGTTCAGTAATCTTATAACCAGTTATTAATGCTTTCCTTTGACAATTTGGATCTTGATTGCTTGAATCACAATGCACCTAGGTAATCTTGGGACCTAATTAAAGTTGCAAACTTTACATCAGAGTGATAACAAGAGTATATCCAGCCCTATTCAAGTGCTAATTTCTCTCTCAACCTACAGCTGCAACTGTCCCACAGGGTGGAAAGGAGCATTCTGCACAGAGACAGTCACTTCCTGTGATCCTGAACACGACCCTCCACACCACTGCAGCAAGGGAGCAACCTGTATTTCATTGCCTCATGGGTACACCTGTTACTGTCCTCTAGGAACCACTGGAATCTACTGTGAACAAGGTGAGGCTGAATTTCAAGTCATTTTTTGTCCATCAATTTAACTAAATTTAGGAACTACAAAGTCAATTTTTCTTTACAGAAAATAAAGATAAGAAACACATATAATAAAAGTAGAGTCTGCTTTCTTCTGTTCCTACTATATTGGACATTGTATTTTACAGACAGAATAATAATCAAGATCCAGTTAGTACAAAAATACAGCTTTATTTTTAGGATTGCTTTGACGTATTAACTCTAAACTCCCTGTCTGTGTAGTCTATGTGTTCTAGATCTTTTGTGCTAAATGTAGTTAACCAAATGAGGTTTGATTCATAACTCCCTTCTAGAACAATACTGTATCTTTGTGCTTTTCCATCTGATTCGAAACTGTCCGTTGAGTGTGGAGGCAAATGCCTTTAATCTCAGTGACTCAGGAGACTGAGGCAGGAAGATCTCCAAGATCAAGGGGCCAGTCTAGGCAACTCAGATCCTGTCTCTAAATAAAATAAAAGGACTGGGACCTCTGAATTCAATTCCCAGTACAACAACAACAACAACAACAACAATAATAAAGCCTATTTTATCAGCTACAGAGAGAGAAGAGAGAAATTTAAAAGGTAAAATGTTCCCAAGTCTAGTGGGACCAATAAAGAGCAATAATGTCCAACCAATTAGAGAAACTATGGCTCTTCCTCTGAGGGAGCTCAACAATGTCCTGGGTACTCCTCACCTGTGCAATAACTAGTGCTAAGAGTACTTCAAGATTTGAGCTATCTTCCCTTTAATCCCAGCTGGGACTTTCAGAACAGCAGTGTTGAGAGCAACAACCAAGTCAAGATGGCGCCTGACATTTTGCCAGAAGGAGTGGTTGAGGGGTAGCACCAGTGAGCCATTAAGATGATGATAATTAAGTTAAGTGCCGCAGTCCGGCTGGGCACACAATCATGAGCCACCACACAGCTTGTAGATTCAAACAGCAACTCTTTATTCCCAAACTCACACCAGCCGTCTACAATCACGTTCTGGGGAAATCCACGTTCTCTGCCCAAATCCACATCCATTGGACTTCTCTCTCCCCAAAAATACTGTCTGAATCCCGTGAGAACTCAAGGGGAACTCAGGCAGCAGGATATGCCCTATTCCCAGCAGGAATAATCTTAAACCTGGAACGCCCTAAACCCGATTATCCTAAATCGGGAACACCCTAATCCGCCCTGGTCCTTGAGCAAGGTCACCTACATGCAATGTCACTGCAAAATGTCCTATTTCCACGAGTCCTTCCACTAAGCAACATGGAGTACGCTGGCAAGGAAATTGTCATACCTACTTGGCTAATGGCTCCCAGCAGTTAAGCTGTGTATAATTATTAAGATAATGACTGATTGCTGTAACTGGATGATGCTAAATTGAAACAAGCTGTGTATTCAGTTGTGTATATAAACCTCTGCTGTCGGGCAATAAGGCAGCTCCTGCTACCTCGGGTGCCCGCTACTTTTGAGTTCTCGCGGAGTTCCCATTGAGTTCCTGTGGAGTTCTCGCAATAAAGTAGTTCCTGTTTGAACCTACAAGTGGCTCGTGACCTCCCGGTTATTTGTGCCCAGCCAGACTGAGGCACAGCAGCAGTGAATCCAGAAAACTCAGCTCAAAACTTCACCAAGATGAGCAGAGCACCTGTATTACTTCAACAAATCACTTCACCAAGATTAGCAGAGCACCTGTGTTACTGCAAAAGCAATAGCAATGAGGAACTGAAAGAAATAATAGGGCAAGTAACATAAAGGCTAATGAATGTGAAAGTAGGGCAAGCTAAGTTTTTGAAGTGTAAAGCTCAAATGATAAAATTTGGGAGATTAAACCAAAGTTTGTACAGATGTGTATTTATATAGATAGATAATATTTATATGCATACAAATAAATTATATAGAGATATAAAAAAACAGGTGGACAGATAGGTAGAAATAGGAATAGCTATAGTAATAAGATTGCAAAATAAAAGCCCAGAAAGTTTGATAAAAGATACCAAAAATTTCATAGAATTCTGAACACAAAGTTAAGCAAAGATACACCCTGGTACATGATAGAATAGGACTTCAGTTAGAATATTTTGCAATCCAGGGAAGTCATTAAAATGTTATTGCAGAATTATGGCTCACAAACATTTTTCAAGATAAATAATATGTCCAGTTTCTCATATGTGCAAATTGCTTATTTGCTCTTTTCTCCTTATCAAAACTCTTTCCTATAGTAGTTTAATAACTACTATATGTTATTAATTTTAATTTATTATAGTAAAGCTTATATATAAACTTTCTTAAATTATAAATCTCTTCTCAATTTCTTTTCCCCATATTATTGGCAAATTTCATTTTTACATGAACTAGTTTTAATACTACTAAATTCTAGCTATTGAACATTGTTGACATTTAGCCAAGTTAGATTCCATAATGTGTGTGTGTTTTAATTTTCAGACTAGCAGATATTGGAAATATATCCATTTTTCCTACATTTTTCCATCCATAGTGTAATTTTTTCCTTTCATTCATTTCTATTCCTCAGGACAAGAACTCATGTCCACACTGGCATTTTGAATGAAACAGGCAATATTCAAGCTACTTACCCATTTTTCCTAATGGGAAGAATATTTTATGGTCCAAGCAGCCTCTGGTTTCCATTGAAATTAATATTTGCTAGTGGAGAATTTCAGTTATTCAAGTTCTTCGAACACATGGGGTGCTTTCTGGCCAAGTTCTTTGTTTTCATAATAGTACAGAAATGAGTACAAAACACAACAGATGACAGTTTCAGGAATCATTGCTATTTTTAGATTCTCATTTTCAGGTGTATTTGGCCATGTGGAGTTTCAGCAGGTAATGCACAAACTTTATGCATAGGAAAAAAAATAGTTTTAGTCTTCATATATTTCCCCAATTTCAAACTCATAGGGATATTTAATAAGAATGTGGTTACATGTCTATTAGATTCTTTATAACTTTATAATAGTCATAAATAGACACTAGCTAGGACTCCTGGGAGTAAACATTTTACTTTAGTTTTTTGTTTTTTTCTGAGTTCTTCAGTACTTGTCAAATCATAAGTGAAACTCAGAGACAAAATGAATTACAAGTAGTAGTTCTGAAGTTTAGTGACTCTCAAGCTTTCTGAGCACCTAAAGGCATGCATACAGCAGCTGAATTTGCAAACAGAGAAACAGATATAACTGACATTTCCTAACCTTGAACTTTGGACAAGCAACTTAATTTCCCTGAACCTCGGGTTCTCTTATGTGGAAAGCATGTATTTAAGAATCTCTCTTAGGGGGATTTCTGGCCAATATTCAGTAAGACTCCATTCTTCTTGTCAAGTCCTAAATTAATAAGTAATATTTTTATGAGGCAGTGAGTGAAAATATAAGAACTCTAAGATATCTATGAGGTTTTTATTCAACAAAATTTTTTTATTTTTTTATTCAAGATACTATTAATAAGCAAGAAGCATTTACAATGGATTTTCAGTTCTTTATTGCTGAAGTTTCCTCCCTCAAAATGTTTTATATGTTGAGTCACAATATGCCTCACCCATCATTCTTGGAAAGTAGACCAAAAAAAAAAAAAGTTACTACTTTCCCTGAGGCAGATCTGCCTATCTTCCTTTTCTTTTATTTGGAGGGTGAGGTAAAGGTACTAGGGTTTGAACCCAGAGGCACTTTACCACTGAGCTACGTACCAAGTCCTTTTTATTTCTTATTTGGAGACAAGATCTCACTAATTTCTTAGGGTCTCACTAAATCTCCCAGGCTGGCCTCAAATTTGGGATCCTCCTGCCTCAGCCTCCTGAGTCACTGGAATTATAGTGTCCACCACCATGCCTGGTTCAACCCATCTTTTTTTAACCTGGAATGATTGACAGTGATGCAATCCAACCACAAACTTTATTTTCTAATTTGGAATGCTGAGAGGCAGGCTTTCCATAGTTTCTAATGAACATATCACAACATGATAGCACATTTAAAAAATTATAACAATAATGGAAGATATAAATACTATAAAATGTCTCTATTTCATTTCCTCCTTTTGTTAAAATCTTCATAATTCATCTTAAGAAAAACAGGAAAAGCAACACTACATTCTAGTGACCAAGGACTATTACAAGGCTAAATGTCAAGAAAGCCTTATGGTCTCCGAGGCAGGAATCTCCTAGCACATCCCAATAAAGGCAATAATGAGGAGTCAATGAAATGAAGAGGCCTCCACGGTGCCTAGCACATAAATAGCACACCATAAATATTAACTCCCTCCTAGACAGGAAGGGAAAAAACATTGAGTTACAGGAAGGCCATGATCACACAGACATTTGATCTAGGGGGTTTGCTAGGTGTTGAACCCAGAACCTTGCACATGTTGGGCAAGTGCTCTGTCATTCTACCACTGAGCTGAATCCATAGACCTTTCTATTTTTATCTTAAGACAAGATTTCACTAAGTTTCCCAGGCTGGCCTCAAACTTGTGATCCCCCAGCCTCAGCCTCACAAGTAGCTGGGACTGCAGGTATGCGCCACTCTGTCCAGCTGATCATCTTTATTTTTAAAAAATTGGTTAGTTTTAATAGATACATTTTTAATATTTGGTAGTTCAAATTTTTTCAAGTTCATATATTTTACTGGTACATTATAATTATACATAATAGTGAGATTTGCTGTTACATACTAATTCATACACACAATATAACAATATAATTTGGTAACTTTAGTTTTGATTCTTAAGTTAAAATATTTTAAACTTCCTATTTTAAAGAGAAAATATTGTTTTACTAAGAAATGTTATAAAGATTTTTCAAACTATTATATTAAGATGGTAAACACAAACTTTTCAAAGTAACCGAACAAAATATTTTTAAAATATTTATTCTCAATAGAGTCATATCAAATTAAATCAAATTCTCCATATACAAAAGTATTTATGGAGAAACCTCTAAGGCAATATGGAGCTATCCAAAGCACTATAAAGTGTTGTTTCTTTTTCAAA